AGGGTAGTATATATATAGGGATTTTGAGTACCTGTAGGGCCCTTACCAGGCCCGAAGAGGCCCGGTTTCTCACTATGTCACATGATATATTATATAAGCGTGACCTTCGGCCCCGGCCGAGATTCCCCTGGAACCCCACATTCTTCACATGATATTTATAGGTTTTTAAAAAGATAAAATATTTTGAATAATATTAGTACCTTTTAGATTATTTCTTTCTTTACTTTTATAGTATCAATCCTAATTTGAAATATTGTTTTTTTTACTTCTATTATTTCCTTTTTCCTTGTTTATATTGTTATTGAGTGGATTATTAATTAATTGTTTAAATTATTATTGTAGAATTGTATTATTATCAAATTAATAAAATATTTATAACTTTATTAGAATTAATTTTGATTATTCTTAACCAAGATTTTAGAGATTGAATTAAGGATGTAATTGTAGGAGTATCGGGATAACCTTAGTATTAAATTATTAAATAAATCGAATAAATATTAGTTTTATCAGACTATAATACTCTTTTATGAATAATAAATTAATTATAATAATTTATTGAAAAATATTAGTAATATAATTTTGAATTATTAGTGTTTATTATTATAATAATAGTTTTAATAAAAAGGAATATATAATTTGTACTTTTTGATATTTTTATTTTTATTTTTATTATTATGTTAATATAAATGAATATTTGATGGTTTAAATATAGTATTTAAAAGTTATAGAAGTCTACCTTGATTATAAATAATTAATCTAATTGAATCTTTTATTTTGATTATTTCGGGGGTAATTAATAATATTTTTAATTTTCTTATAATTTTCTTAAGTATACTTAATAATCGAAATTAAAACTCTTTTTTCTTAAAAATATTTGTAATTTTAGAATTCAATTATTATTAAAATATTATAAATCATATATCAATTAATACCTTATCAATCATTTATTTCAAGTAAATAATATATTTTATAATAAGTAATTTATATATATAGAGTTTATATTATAATTTATATAATAATTATATTTTAATAAATAGAAAATACTTTAATTTAAAGTTCTTAAAATTTATAATATAATTTAACTACAGTTCTTTATTATAGAAATTATTGAATTTATATTTATATAATTTATATTTGTAGAAATCTCGTATTTCCTTTTTGTTTGTATAATTAATATCAAAAGAATAATCTTTTTATCTATTTATTATTAATTTATAATTAATAGACGTGATTTTTAATGGAATTAGAGATTCGATAATAAATTTAATAAATTCAGTATTATCAAGTTGTTTTAGGACTAAATATTCAACATTTTTAATACAACGCTTTTAAAATACAAAAGAATCTACAAATGATTCTGTTATATTCAACAAATAACAAATAGATAATGGGATATTAACTCTACCAAGATATAACAAAGTTTGAATTCAAAGAATATAATACTGAACTCGAATTAAATACTACTGATTCTTATTCTTTAATATATATTGTAATAAAGAATAAAATATAAACTAAAGTTAATATAAAAACTGCCGCCACATTACCGACCATTTTTATTCATACAAAAACAAATATTAAATTACATTAAAATAATATAAAAGTTTATACCTCTTCAAAAAAATACTAACCTTAATTCAAACTATACATTATAGTTTTAAAATTAAGGTGTCAGGCTTCTGATCTATAATATCACTAATTAGTATTAACATTATTATAGGAATAATGAAGTTAATATAGTACTATGGTTTACACTATTATTATATTACTTGAGGTTCTAAAAGCTAGGACTACGAAACGTATTACTATAGTGTCGGAAGACGCTAGCGTCAACGCTAGCGTAGTCACATGATCCCTGTCCCAACAAATATTAATAAGTATAATAAAAAATACTTTCTTTAATAATAATATAAATAAATCAACTGTCAAGGTACAGGTAAAGACTTATATTGTATCATAAGAATAAAAGAACTATGGAAGGGTGAGGCCCTACTTATAGGAGATAGGGCACGCTAGTAGTCTATGCCTTCGTGCCTCAGGCAACTACAGATCATATAGTTGGCGCCGTGACATTAACATACTTATAATTATTAAGAAAGATCGAGAATTTATAAACAAAATTATTATCTTAATCATTATATTTATTAGCTTTATTATAAAGTTTTATAAGATTATTCAAAAGCTAATTGATATTTATAGATCTTTATAATTAAGAAAATAAAGTTTCTTAAATAATATTACTACCTTTTAGATTGTTTCCTCCTTTACTTTTATAATATCGATTCTAATGTAGAATATTATTTCTTCTACTTTATTATTTCCTTTTCCTCTACTTATATTATTATTATTATCAAATAAATTATTAATTAGTTATTCAGCTTACTATTATAAAACTATATTGTTATCAAACTAATAGGATATTCATACCTTTATTAAAGTTGATTTTGATTACTATTAATTAAGATTTTGAAGATTAAATTAAGGATATAATTATAATGATATTAGAATAATATTAATATTAAATTGTTGAATAAATTACATAGGTATTAGTTTTATTGGATTATAATATTATTTTATAAATAATAAATTAATTATAATTACTTATTGAAAAAGATTAATAATATAATCTTAAATTATTAATATTTGTTATGATAATAATAATTTTAATAAAAAAAGAATATTTAATTTGTTCTTCTTAATTTCTTTATCTTTATTATTATATTGATATAGATTAATATTTAATAATTCAAATGTAGTACTTAGAAGTTATAGAAATCTATCTTGATTATAAATAATCGATCTAATTAAATCTTTTATTTTAATTATTTCGGGAATAATTAATAATATTTTCAATCCTTTTATAATTCTCTTAAGTATACTTAGTAATCAAAACTTAAACTCTTTTTCCTTAAAAATATTTATAATTTTAGGATTTAATTATTATTGGAATATAATATATTCTATATTGATTAATACCTTATTAATCATTCATTTTAAATAAATAATATACTTTATAATGAATAGTTCATATATATAAAGTTTATATTATAATTTATATAATAATCACATTTTAGTAAATAGAAAATACTTTAATTTAAAATCTTTAAAACTTATAATATAATTTAATTCTAATTCCTTATTATAGAAGTTATTGTATTTGTATTTACATAATTCGAATTTATAGAAATCTCATATTTCCTTTTCATTTATATAATCAATATTGAAAGGATAACTTAATCTTTCCATTTATTTATTATTGATTTATAATTATTAGACATAATTTCTAATAGAATTAAAGACTTGATAGTAAATCTAATAGATTTGATATTATCAAATTGTTTTAGGGCTAAATACTTAACATTTTTAGTATAATATTTTCAAGATATGAGAGAGTTTGTAAACAATCCTATTATATTTAATGGATAATAAGTAAATAATGAGATATTAATTCTATTGAAATTTAGTAAAATTATATTTGAAGAATATAATACTAAACTTAAACTGAATACTACTAATTCTCGCTCTTTAATATATATTATAATGAAGAATAAGATAGAAATTAAAGTTAGTATAAAAATTGTTATTATATTATCAATCATTCTTATTTATATAAAGGTAAATATCAAATTATATTGAAATAATATAAAAGTTTGTGTCTCTTTAAGAAATACTAATCTTAATTTAAATTATACATTATAATTGAAATTAAGATGTTAGACTCCTAATTTATAATATTACTAATTAATATTGATATTATTATGAGGATAATAAAGTCAATATAATATTATAATTTACATTATTGTTTATATTGCTTGAGGTTCTAAAAGCTAAAACTATGAGACGTATTATTATAGTGTCGAAAGATGCTAGCGTCAATGCTAGCGTAGTCACATGATCCCTATCTGTCGGAATACGTAACTAACGGCGTGACATTATATATCACGCTTTACCTTACATACATATTTCGTATGTATATAAGGGTAGTACACATATATAGATATAGCAATTCCCTCTTCGTACAAAGAGGGTAGACAGAAATAAACAACCCTTTTACCTATACATATTGTATATACACACCTTACCAAGTCTGCCCAACACTATCCCAACAGACTGATTCGTAATAATAATATTAATTCAAACTTATATTGAAAATTTAAAGAAAATAAAGGAAATAATAATCTCAAATACAAAAAGAAAAGTAACAAATTGAAATAATTAAATAAGAGTATCAAATTAATTAATAAAACTTCAAAGGAAATTCATAAAAAGATTAAAATAATATATTTAATCTCATCAAATATTCTAACGATTTAGAAATTATTATTAAAAACCTTTCCTTAAATAAAAAACAATTAATAATAACAATATTAAAGATAATAATTTGTTTAATCAAAATAAATATAAACCTTACTAAAAGTACTATATTAATTAAGAATATTAAAAAAAACGGTTAATTTCTATTTCAAAATATTAAAGAATATCAAAATAACTCTTTATAGTTTAAATACTTGAATAAAAAATGATTTTAAAACTAGTTGTAAAAATATTATTAAAATCAAATTGAATCTTAAGATAAAGAAAATTAATTAAAGGAAATTGATTTAATAATTCATTAAGAAAAAAATCGAAACAAAATATAAAAACATAATTAGAAAGATATCGATCGTTTCTAAATTGAATAAAAAATTACACATAAAAAGAAACCTCAAAAGATAATAAAATAAGAGATATAAGAATAATATAAGAAATGAGGAAAAAAGATAGTGTAGGAAATGATATAAAGAATGGAAAAGGGGGTGGCACAGGATAAAGCACTGGATACAGAGGGTGTAGAAATAGTGGGACAAGATTTGCCATCTGAAGTTTCCTAGAAACAAGCCTATAGACTTTTCTGATTAGGTCATTCACCGTATACAAGTTGGTTGTGCTTAATTTTACATGGTCACATTACGATTGTAAACGCCCATTTAGAGTGATTGTTGGTTCGAGAAGGATACGGAAGACGTAGCACCCACAGTATTCGTAGGTCCTAAATGTCTATATTGTATTCTATCTAAAGAGCTAGCTAAGTACAGGAGATTGTAGGTCTTATATAGACGCTACAAGAGCTAGTCTCTTCTGCTTTCGCTTGAGGCTACTGTATCCCACATTCGCTAAAGACTTCAATACAGTAGCTAATGAATTGAAGCTATTCACTAGATCCTAATGATCAGTGTCCATACAGTGATGCATAGTTTCATTCAAACGAAGACTACCTTCAACACTAAACAAATGATATTCCCTACATAGACGCAGGCTTTACTCCCCTCAACGATATGCTAGCCCGTACCCTCGCTCCATCACCAATATCAAAATTATCCTGTAGTGTCATATCCGGAGCCCCTTGTAGATCCTCAAAAGGTATTTCCACAGCACCAACTTCCGACTCTCCATTCATACATACAATCCGCAAATTTCCATCGGTTATATCTGTGGCAGTGACTGGAATTCGGAAGTGCTGATCAAAGGTCGGATTGTTAATGTCTGTACCGGGTGCATCTGTCTGTACAGCTGTCTGGAAACGTTGTTTACTTCCCCACCTCACAACTACACTTGGTTTTAAAGTTTCTCGCTGGCCTTTGATGTCGAAAGCACCTGCGACAAGTACATTGAGGATTCCGCACATGAGACCATCACCACTATGATTAGATGCCGAGAAGCTATTGCTATCCTCAGAAGTGAATTGGAAGAACTCGCATGATAGCGCGACTTTACTGTCGCTCTCCGACCCCTGATGCAACATTGCGAGCTCTTGCTTACCACCAGCCACAAGCATCTCCCTGACTGTGGTAACAGCTACACCGACCTCATCATCAGAATTCAGGTCGTGATCGGATACAACGACTTTGATGCGTTGATCAAAATCTGATACCACGAAATCATGTGTCTCGCCCCATGCCGGAGTTGTAGTATTATCCTTAGTCGTCGTCCTCCATGGTGCTTCGGCGCCAACTTCAATCTCAGCATAGCAATCCGGACTCGCCCTTGTCAACTTAGAAAATAACTTCTTCGTCTTGGACTGTGACTCCTCCGCAAATCCCCATGCTTTTTCTGCGGTGATTCGAACGATTCCTAATGGTTGATGGTACGTCTTGAAATAATCATTATTTGCGTCAAGTTTGACCATGATACGGTTGGGCAAAACGACCACACTGTTAATTATGCCAATTAACACCTTGCGAACGGCGTCGTCAATGAGGGACAGGTCAGCGATGTTAGCGGCGCCTGTGAAATTTAATTTGAGTTCGGGTGGGTTTATGAAGGATATTTGAGTGGCACCAATCTAAGGGGTGATTTAGTACGAGAAACTTAACTGTTCGGCTTTGAAGTGCTACGGTGAGCCACTTACTAATGGAATAATATTCGTAAGAGGACACAGTAGGATGGAGAGTCTGCCGTTTAATAAAACCTCTTTAACTCCCTATTGAACGATAAGTCATTATATGTAACTAGTGAATGTGTCGGTGACTTGTCAAAACTTACAACTTTGGGCATCATATTTCCATCCAATTCAATGTCACACCGGCCATTCCAATTTACATTCAAATCGAGCTTAATACCATCGTGAGCGGTCTTTGTAACCTTGACATCAGAAAAGACGATTGGTGTGGCGCCAAGCTCAATCTTGGTGAAATGTAGGGTCGCCAGCGGACCAGGGAGCATGGTTTTAAACATGGGTTCGACGATGTCCTTAATCATTTTGCTGCCGGCAACCTCGATGTTGGGCCATAGCTGTGCGACGATATCGTTTAGGAAGCCTACTCAATTATATGGTTGGTCAATTTTAATTGCTGTAATCCTCTATCGAGTTCATGGTTAGTATTATTCAGAGCCATTGTGAACATACCGGCAGACTCTCCACCACCTTCAGTCGTCAATTTTTCGATGAGTGCGGACATTTTAGCGCAAGAACTTAAAGATCTACCAACTTTGGCTTTAAGATCGAGATGATGATTGAATCTGGAAGTTCCTCGTGGTGAAATCAAATTCTTTTGTCGACGAGATCCAAGATCGTGAGTATATATCGTGGAGGAGAATTTATCGTGGTCAATTTGCGGGGCAATCATGATAGTCGTCCGTAGCCATTCGCCATGACATCAACGTGCACCACGTCAGTTGTTGTGGCCACGTCGTGTGGGGCAGATCCAATGGGAACCAAGCCAAGCTATTCGCCAAGACTTAAATCAGGACAGCAATCAGGTAAATAATTACTAACTGAAGCTTAAGACTTAAGCATACATCATGAGTACGAAGAACAGGCTTCATGAGACCGTGCCTCTCGTGGTGCATAGTATGAACAGGGGGACTTCGACTGGATAATTTGTTTGATTTAAAGATTTCTATATTCAGGAAATACTATTATAAAATATTCATATTAATTGAAATAAATATGATTATCCCTTGAATTATACTTTTAAATGTAATTAGATGTTATTATTAAATAAATCTCAATAATCTTCTTGACTTATGTTAAGGTTTATATAATATAATAATTAATAACTTTAAGGAACCTAAGTATTAGAGAAATGTACTTTTGAAATAGAATAATATTTCATTTAAAACATATATCAAGAAGAACCCTAATATAAATCTCTAAGAAATATTCAATATAATATTTACAGATCTTTGTTTTCTTTAGTATATTATTCCTATAAGAAATATTCAATATAATAATTACAGATCTTTATTTTCTTTAGTATATTATTCCTATAATAATATATAACTTCTAATCATATTATATTAAGATTTTATTTATATACAATAGTATCTCGAAATATTATAATACAATTTACAATTCTGATCTTAATATCACTAATCTCATCAACTATTTTAAACAAACTATTAATTCTTACTAAAAGATATTCTTAAAACGGAACATATTAATAATCAAGACTTTTCTTATAAATCGATATTTCTACAATAATAACTCTTCAAGCTCTTCTTTTCGAAAACTCTATAAACATAATAGAAAAAAATCCTTTATTATATTATTAAATAAGAATAAGAATAAATACTACTTTTCTAATTATAAGAAAAAAGACTACAAATATTATAAATACAATAAAAAAAAAGATTAATTTAAATTAAATTACCATATTAAATATAACAATCTTAATAATAAGAACTTTAAGAAACAATATATTTAATTTATTATAGTTATTAAGCAAAACAATAATTAAAAAGATAATGATAATAATAAGAATCGTTTTATTAATTAATATTTCATTAATAATAACAATATTAAAGAATTTTCTAAAATATTCTTTATATTAATAAATACTTTTAATAATTTTTCGGTAATAATTATTCTCAATAATTTAATAAATACTTATTTATTAATAGTCAAGATATATACTATAAATAACGGAAGATATTATATAAATAAATTCTTTAGAATTATAACTAATATAGGTATAGTTTGAAAATGTATTATTAAATATGATTGATATTTAGTATAAAAGAAGATTAATAATGTTAAGTATAATTAGTTTATTACTAATTAGATAATAATTTAATATAATATTATTGAGATCACTTGGGGGGGGGGGGGGGTCGTTAACTCGAATCATCATATATAGTACTGTATAGTCTATATAGTCTATATAAAATAAATAATATAAATTGAAATGATTTAGAATAAGATATAATTCTTCTTATTATATATATAATGAAAAGAATCATATGATTTGCTTAAGTATATAATTATATATTTCAATATAAACAGAATTTTCATTTTTAATGAAAATTCGGAATATATAATATAAAGAGTGAATTATACTAGCTAAGTCTTTTAAAATCTAAAACCAATCTAACTAAAGATTCTCCTTCTCCTTCGTTTTATAATCAAATTAAAGAAAGCAGGAAAAGAATAAATCGAATTGAAAATTATATATAAATAAGGAAAAGTTTTATCTATTAAAATAGAATAATTGAAAGAAGGAAAAGATATTAAATTAATTTGATTAAACAAAGTATTGAAATTTAATTGATTTTGAAAAAACTAAGAATAAAAGGGAAGGTTTAATTATTATATAAGGATAAATAGAAATAAGTTATTTTTCTACTTTTTTGTAAAACTTGAAATATAAATAATTGAATTCTTTTTGATAAGGGAATAGCGGTTTGAAGCTTGTAAGGCTTTAATTCAGTATATTTTTTTAAGAGTACAAATAAAGGTCGAATTCTTATAGAATTTTTAAAGCTATTTTATTAAATAGCTATTTATATTGTAATAGACTCTTCAATTTTATAACCTTTTTCCTTTGCTCTTTTGATTCGAATGAATTAGGTTTATTGAAGATAATAGACAGGCCTTTTTTTTTCTGACTTAATAGTTGCATGAAGAAGAGTGTTTCGTACTATAAGGTAGAGAAGGAGGGTCTAATAAAAGGGTTCTAATGAAAAGGGGGCGGCGGAGCAGTTCTTTTTGTTCGAAGGGAGGGAAGGGGGCTTCGAATTCGAAAAAGCATGTTGGACTTTAAGCAGGATATGGTGGATGTAGATTGAACTATCGATTCATTGAATTCTATAAATATAATAATCTAATTTATAAATCAATTAATCCATTCAATCCTAAAGAAATCAACTATAATTAGAGATTCCTTTTTAGTATATTAATCGAAAAAAAAAATATAAAGAATATAGTATTCTAGTTTTTAATATAAATTATATATAAATATAATCTAATACAATCTTATTCATCTTTTTAAAGAATATCTTATCAAATAGCCTAAAGCACCTTTTTCATTTTTATATAAATATCTTTATGTAAAACCTTAAAAAGTAATCTAATTTATAAATACCTTCAAAGAAGGTAAACACTAATTAGTATTGAAATCACTTAAAAAGAAAAGAATCATCAACTCGAATTATTATATGCAGTACTGTATAGCCTATATAAAATGAATAATATAAATTGAGATAATCTAGAATAAGGTATGATTCTTCTCATTATATATATAGTGGAAAGAATCATATGATTCGCTTAAGCACGTGATCATACGTTCCGACAAATATTAAAACAATTATTCCTATTAATTCCTTCTGAATGAAATTTTTATCCGATATTATAAAATAGAATATAATAAAAATAAATATTTTATTTCTATTTGGCTTCATAGATATGAATAGATTCAAATTTAAATATAACAATCTTAATAATATTATTATTATATCTAAAGACATTTAACATGGTTTAACATCGAGTGGCTCATATCACCGAGTGGCTTATTTAAAAATATACTAAAATTAGGCTTTTTCTAATATTCATATTTTGATAACTAAATACTATTTTTGAGAAAGAAAAAGATATTAGATATTAATAAAAATTAGCTTTTTATAAATCTAGTTTATTTTATAAATATCTCTATCATATTCTAAAAAAGTAGAAATTATTACGATTTTTGTTACTAAAAAGTTTTTTTTATAATAACTAGTATAATAATTCGAATTTTTGATAAATAACTAGATTTTTATAATATTTATATAACTAAATTTTAGTATTTTCAAATCTTTTCAAATTTTATTAATAAATAAAGAAAGTATATTACGAATCGGCCTTAATCGTAACTACGATCGCTTATATACGCATATATATATATATACGATTACATATATATAACTAATATATAAGTACATTTTATAAACGCTTTACTCTCGATTTTATAATTATAGATTCTAAGAATAGATTATATTCTGTTTTTATAGTTCTTTTATAACAAATTGTTATATTATTTATAACTTATTATATAATTATATAATTATTTAATGATTAGTTAAATAATACTACTTTATAATTTAATATTTTCTTGAATGAATTATATAAATTCGATATTACTTATAAAAAGAAGATCTATTTCAAGTAATTTTCAATAAAGATATATTCTTCTAAACATCTGAATTATAAGTATTATTATTTATATCTATATATATAAACCTCAATATTAATTCATTTACATTAATATCTAACATATATCAATCTCTAATCAATTAATTTATTTAATATAAACAGAAACAATCTTATGAAAATAATATTAACGTTACTTCAAGCTTTAATATTGATATTAATAAAAAGAAAAAGGATAAAAAAAGAAAAATTATTTATTAACCTCAAAACAATATTACTATAATTGAAATACAAGTATACTAACTTATAAAACAAATATAAACACTTCAATTTTTATAAGAATAAATTGTTTGATTTTAAGTAGAAATTAATAATGCTCAAAACATTATTAATTTATCTTATACTCTCTTAAAGTAATCTTATATAACTCTCCTTATAAAGTATAATGTCTATCTTTATCTTATTTATATTCCAACTTTATTTAGAGTATATAATAATTAGCTATACATATAACGAATGAATTTCCTATATCATTTTATTTTAGTGAATCTAAAGTCTCATATATATTCCAAAATTTATTTCACTTTTGAAATTATAATCTAATAAATGTTAATAACTTTAATGTTATTAATACTTTTGATTCTTTTAATACTTTATTAAACAAATTCAATTGTACCTCAATTCCACCTCGTTCTTAAACACTTAAGTTTTCTTTTATTAAAAAAACCCTTTTATATAAGCAAAACAAGTATATTTAATAAAAAAGTATTTTCTATTAAATACACACCTGTTTACTTAATTTATATTAAAACATTTAAGATCGAAAAGAATCTATTCTAATTGTTATATTCATTTCTATTAACTATAAGAACAATAATAATAATAAAGATTTAAATAAAATAATTAATAATCAATATTTTGAAAATCGTTTAAAAAAAGCAAAAGCTTTTAATGATATTTTCCATTTAATAACAATATATTTAACCTTTTAAAATGTTTTATAAAATATCGATAAAGAAAATAATGATATTTGTTGGGACAGGGATCATGTGA